ATATATATGGCTCAATATTTATATATATAATATATATAAAATGTCTTTGAGTCATAATTTAATTTTGTGCGTAACAATGTGATTACCGATAACTGTGATTAATCTCAAAAATATTTTGAGATGAATCACATTTAATATCAAGATATTAATCTTGGTAACGAATAATATATTAACACACACACACACACACACACATACAACAAACAAACAAAAAAGTCTGGAAATTTTTTTGTCCTTTTTTCCTTGAGGACATCTCTTACAGCTTTTGTTGTGTCTTCTATGACATTTAGTTACTGTTTGGACTGTTTCTCTACAGAATTATATTCAGGTGGACTTTTTAAAAATCACTATTCACTTTTTTTAATAAACAACTTCTAAATGCAAATGAGAAATGTAACAGTAAAACAAAACCTACCCATGCAAACACACACACATAAAGTAATTTATATTTTAGCACATCCAACAGTGCAAGCAAACAAACCTGCAGGGGCAACACTGAGTTGCAGTTGCTGTCAGTGCGAAACATGTTTTCTTCCATCCAGGATTTGGGTCCCAGGGAGCCACTGGAACGGGGGAACTTGGGCGGAGCAATGACGTTGCTTGAAAAGGGCTTTTTCAAGGGTGAGATGTGACTGACCGAGCCGGGTACCCCCACGTTGCCCCCTCTGCGGTGGTCCCGACCCCAGGACATCCCACCGGAGGCCCAGCCGTTCCCCTGGTGGCTACTCCATGGAGATGGTTTCACCATAGGCTGCAATAAAAAGAGAATATACATAAATTCAGAATAAAATCCCATTCCCCCTTTAAAGTATAAATACATTTAAATTAATTGTTTATTGTTTGTCTGATCATATCAGAAGATGGCGCCCATGTGCATGGCTTGCAATCCACCACTGCTGATGGTGTTCGGATTATTTATGTTTTGTTTGTTTTTTATCTGGGACATAAACTTGCTGTTGGTGTATGACCGATAACAGCTTCTGGATCTTCGTTTTTCTGCCACCGATGTCGCTTATATGGACCAATATGAGCGTAACTCTTCGCCTTGATGTCAGGGATGTGAAGGAGTTTCCACTTTTACATCAAAAGACCATCTGAGCAGAAAGAGTCTAATATCTGGTGTCTTCAGGCAGCCTTCGAAGACGGCTTCTGGTAGGAACAGCTGATTTGATACACTGACGGTTGACTCTGGTGTCCAAGAATTTAGATTTTAACCAAATTAGTTTTAACTCAGTTCAGTAATTATTTTTCCTTAAATTTCAGACCAAATTTTAACTATTGAACGATAAAACATATTTCTTTTAGTTAAATATGCATGATTAATCTGCCCTACTGAAATTTCAAAATTGTTCTACATTGCATCTTGTTTCTGGTTTGGTTAAGCACATAGAATAATTTAATTTTTCTGTTAATTCCTGCTAACAAGCAGCGGTCATGTTAATTTCCATAAAACTCCAGTTGTGAACAAAGCCTTCATTTAAATGTCAGAAATAATTTCCAACAGCTGTTTTTATCATATATAGTCAAATAAACATCACAAAATTGTATTAAAGCATGTGTGTTTTACTTATGACATCTGAAACCTTCATATAAAAGAACTCACGGTGTAAAAAGGGTAATTCGAGGTAATTAACAATAACATCTGAATTGATTTTTAGACCTTCAGATTTTCTCTCAGAGCTGAGAGTGGTGCCCCTTCAAAATAAAATTCATAACGAATTTTAACTATTATTAACCCTTACCGCTACGGCCTTCTCTGTAGCAGGACCAAGACTTTGGAATGAGTTACCTCTCCTTGTCAGACAGGCCCCCTCCCTCTCGGTCTTCAAGTCCCGTTTAAAAACCCACTGCTATTCGGTAGCTTTCAACACCAGATGATCTGTGTTTTTGAACCTGTATGCTCCACTCTGGTTAGTCGTCATTATCGGCATCGTTTTTATGCCTATATTTCTGATTTACTTAATTTTGTATTTTGCTTTGTGTGTTACCTGTTGTTCTGTCTGTACAGCACTTTGGTTGGCCTTGTCGCTGTTTTAAGTGCTCTATAAATAAAATGGTATGGTATATCCTTTTATATCCCTTATTGTCCCCTCGTCAGCCATTACCTAGCTTGATTTGCTCCTGTGATGGGTGGGCAGATAAGAAGATTTAGAGCTTTAGTCTAATACTAAGTATCTTGTACTCTGCAACACCACTGTACCTTACACACTCTCTCCAGCTGGACCTTGTGTCCCCTCCTAATCATCAGACTGAATTTTTCACTCTGTCTCACAAGGGAATTATACACAGATTGAAAGCAAAAAGTAAAAAGATTTATTTCAATTGAGCATAAAACCTTCCAAATTATTTATGCAAAAAAATGTGAAACATTTGAAGAATGAAAGAATTCATGTTATGTGCACTTCTGCACACACACACACACCATGAGGATTCTTGTTAATCTTTATTCGGCTAGTGTGTAGCTCAGTGGTACTGCTATCAAAGTCGGCTGCCAAAGGCAAGGGTGGAGTGATAATGTATGTATTTGCCCATGCTTGTGTGTGCAGACGTATGTTTGTTTGTCTGTCCTATTAGCAAAATATCTAATGAATCAGTAGATAGTGTTGAATAAAACTAACAGAAAGTAATATCAAAATCAGAATGCTTTTTATTGTCATTGCACAAGAAGCACAACGAAATTTCATTTCAATACAGCCGTTCAAAGAAACAAAAAGGCACCCAACAATATAAGACATGGGTAGACGGTTGTCTGAGGCTGCAGCCGTCATGGGAGACACTGTCCTTGTCATTACATAAGGAAAGAGACCCACTAGGAAAGAGGAGGTTAAAAAAAAAATCATACTATTTATACTATATATATACTACATATAGTTGCAAAAATAAATTCAGCACCAAAAAGCAACATAATAAGACATATGCATATAGAGTGGGTGAGGGTGGATTGGGAGGTGGGCTCCCAACACAGGCTACCCAAGTGAGCAATGCAGCCACCTGGCACCTCACATCTGACCTAGGTTACTGCACGGGGGGGGGGGGGGGAAAAAGGAGAGAGGCCAGTGAAGGCAATGAGTTGGAGGGGAGTGTGTTTATAGCTGTGCGAGTGTATGCGTGTGTTTGTAAGTAAGTCCATGAACACTGTCCCAGATAGCCCCTCCAGCTTATCCATGATAAGTGATCGCGCGTTTATCAGCCAGCCTTGGCGGAGCTCTGACACAGGTCCACAGATGTCCTTGGGGAAGGGAATGGGTAGGGGGAGCAGAGCGTCTTGTTCACATAACATCCAGGATAATTTGAGATAGTCAGCCTTCCAAGGCTGACACAAGGGAGCCAGATCCAGATAACAACGGTTGTTTTGGGTCAGGTCGACTCCGTTAATATTTGTCTGCCTTACAGTCTTGCTGGTACATCTCAATGGTGACTCCAAACAGCCAAATTTGTGGTCAATTCTGCTGAGCTGAGTTTGTAACTTCTCCAAGATCAATTTTTTGCTGCCAGTGAGATTCATGAGCCGCAAGTAGCCTGAGATTCTCAGCAAGAATCACGTCCAGCTTAAGGCTCAGCTCACACAGCATCTGAGTCCGAGTGTTCACAGCACGGCACATCCCCTCACACAGACCAAGCAGCTTCACAATGGCCTGAACAGCTGCCGACGTTTTTCAAATTTGTCAATATGCCAGGTAGAATTGCATTTGGACCAGCCTGGACCGGACTGAGCCCATAGTATTTTATTATTGAGCCCTACCCGGACCCAACGGATTACCGATAATTAGAGGGCCGAAAATGACTTTTTAAAAATTTATTAAGCTTTTACTGCTTAGTTTGACATGATAGTTTTAAAAACATAATGAAAGGAAGATATAAGATATATTTTTATTAACAAGTCACCAAATGGATATTAATACAAAACGAATAGCATAAAAATTCAACTCTACAGAAAGGCTATTATACAGATGAACAAAAAATATTTTAGAGCAAAATTATTTGGAAAAATATAGAGCAAGGCTATTTTAATTGAACACGCTTCTTACTTTGACTTTTGTAGGTTCTACTACTTCCTTCACCGCAGATGACAGCATGTGCGGAGACGCGAGCAGCTGGCAATCAGCTGATCCATCCATCCATCCATCCATCCAACATGGCTATTTTAAATTAACACGTTGCTCGCTTCAGCTTTTGTAGATTATGCTACTTCCTTCACCGCAGATGAGAGCAAGTGCGGAGACGCGTGCAGCAGGCGATCAGGTGATTTGTCCATCCATCCATTATCTTAAATATAATTAAATTCAATTCAGTTTATTTATATAGCGCCAAATCACAACAAAGTTGTCTCAGGGCACTTTACAGAAACATTCACATACATAGAAAAGCCAATTAGTAAAGTTATCTATCTAAGGAACCCAGCAGACATGTTGAATCTTGGCTTCGTTGCAGTCTCCCATCCTGAGCAAGCACAATGGCAACAGTGGAAAGGAAAAACTTATTTTTAAAAGGAAGAAACCTCCAGCAGAACCAGGTTCAGGACAAGCGGCCATCTGCTTTGACAGGCTGGGTTTGAGAGAACAGCAAGAAGAGGCAAACACAGAATACAGAATAAGAAGATCCTGACTGGATCATCAAAGTCTGAAGGGAAGGTTGTAGATGAACAGATGCTGAGATATATTCATCAATTAAAACGGATTCTTCATTTTTCTGGACTGAATATAAACGTGCATTGAATTTAATGAAATGTGGACGTGAGACGTTAATTATCTTTGACTCACCACGACAGTGGGTCATTTATTAACAGAATCAAGTTTAACACATCAAACATTTACATTAATTTGGCAAAATATGAAAATAACAACATAATTAATCAGCGAGCTGTACAATTAGAATCAATTATCCACACGGCGGTGGATGAGCACTTTACACAGACATTTCTAAAAATATCTGTCAATGATTTCTACTTGATAGAAGAATTTTTAAAGATGGAAAGATGAAGTTTAGTGGGAGTGAAAGATGGATGAGGGAGAATGTGGTGTGTATGAGTGAAAAGTGTTGACAGGACGACACCCTCCATCCGACCCAGCTTTTCCTCGGTACGCTCAGTAGGGGACTAGACTCATTTACCTCTCTGACGATAAATCAGAAGAAGAGGAGCTCCAGTTAACGCTACCTTTCAGCGTCTCCATAGGATGGCTGTGACTCGTCCGAAGTAGTGACGATATCCTGTCTGACACAAGTTCACCTCAGCCAGTGGACCTCACATGAGTGGGGTTCGTCCGAGTTCCACTCAGAGGTGAAGATGTTATAATCCCATAAAACTCGGAAGAGCTCTATCATGTCAGGGTTTTCCTGTTTCCCAGCCAGACTCCAACAGAACTTCACAGAACTCACAGAACTGAGAACTGGGCACATCACAGAACTGCCACTTCACCGAACATCTCCGAACTGCTACCAAACAGAACTGGGAGAACTAGGAAGTACCGACATTTTAAAGAGGCTCTATTCCCGGTTCATTTGGGAGTCCCTGATTGGTCAATGTCGACCAGACAGGGGTGTGGTTTGTGACGTAAGAGGTTACTAGAAGTCAGAAAACAGCAAGAATTGTTATGGAACAGATTAAAAATGTTCTCAGAGACAGAGAGAGAAATGTTTTGGCGAGTTTGGAGAAACAGGTGCCAACTTCTCTGTTGACGTCTGAGAGGATGTAAAACAACGACCATTCGTTCCAACGACTTGTCTGCTTCGACTCCTGACCTTGGAAAACGT